TGGCTTGGGAAATTTGAATTTGGCAGGTATAGTGGCCACAGGAGAACTCAGTAGCAGAAGATACCATTGGTAAATTTTGAAATGAACTGCAAATTGACTAATAAGTCTCTATTATCCTATATAATAAAAGAGTAATTTACAAATTAACTATCACTCCACTACACTCACAAGCCCTGCCCACCAGCCAATCAGGAGTGAACATGCAAATAAACCCAACCAAGATGGCTACGGTCACAGAGGGCAGGAGGGAGGCTTGGGTTTCCCTGGCAATGGAGGAAGCCAAGCTTTCCACCTGCCCTTGCTGGCCTAGGCCTCCACAAAAGGCTACAAAGTTTCAATAATAGAAGATACATAAATCAAAACATAAATGGAGGCAGCCAGGAGCTGGAAAGAGCAGGAGGCTAGGGTTGCCCCTGGCAATAGAAGAAGCCAAGCTTTCCGTACACCCAGGCCTACCCAGGATCCGCTTAAGGCTACAAAGTTTCAATTATAGAAGATACATAAACCCCAACAGAAATGGCTGCCACCACAGAGCGAGCAGAAGGCTTGGCTCTGCTCCAGACTACAAAATTTCAATTGTAGGAGAAAAATAAACCCCAGATACCAGGGCCTCCACTTGGGTCGCCATGGGGTGTGGTTGGCCTGCAATCCACCACAGGCCCCTCGCTCAGGCAGCCTCACACCCCAAGGGAACCCCCATCCTGATCCGGGACACCCTTCAAGGCAAACCAACTGGGCCCACCTGTACACCAGGCCTCTATCCTATCTAATAAAAGAGTAATATGCAGGTTGACCATCACTCCAACACACAAGATGACTGCCCCCATGTGGTCAAAGATCCTACCCCCATGTGGACACAAGGTGGTCACCACAAGATGGCCAACAGGGGAGGGCAATTGGGAGGGACCAGGCCTGCAAGGGAGGGCAGTTGTGGGTGATTAGGCCAGCAGAGGAGGGATGTTGGGAGTGACCAGGGCTTCAGGGAAGGGCAATTGAGAGGGACCCAGGCCTACAGGGGAAAGCAGTTGGGGGGTAGCAGGCCTGCAGGGTAGGGCAGTTAGGGGCAAACAGGCTGGCAGGGGAGCTGTGAGGGGGTGATCAGACTGGCAGGCAACCAGGGGCAACCAGGAAGGCAGGCAGGGGAGCAGTTGGGAGCCAGCAGTCCTGGAGTGTGAAGTTTTCCAGATTGGAGAAGGTGCAGGCTGGGCTGAAGGACACCTCCCCACCCCTGTGTAAGAATTTCGTGCACGTGGCCTCTAGTAAGTGTATAAAAAAACTGGGTTTCAATGAAAATAATTACAATAAATTACAATAAAATGGAAATGTGCTGCATAGTAAATTGACCCAAGAATTAATGGATTTGCTTAATATAATAGAATTTCTTTTTTAAAAAAATATATTTTTATTGATTTTGTACAGAGAGGAAGGGAGAGAGATAGAGAGTTAGAAATACCGATGAGAGAGAGTCATCGATCAGCTGCCTCTTGCACACACCCTACTGGGGATATGCCCGCAACCAAGGTACATGCCCTTGACTGGAATCGAACCTGGGACCTTTCAGTCCCCAAGCCGACGCTCTATCCATTGAGCCAAACCAGTTTCGGCTGCTTCATAGAATTTCTTGATGAAAATTCATCATTGTTAGCCCACTTTGTTAGTTGTTTTCGTTAATCTTCACCGAGGATATTTTTTCCATTGCTTTTTAGAGAGAGTGAGAGGGAAGAAGAGAAGGGGAAAAGAGAGAGCGAGAGAAGCATCCATGTGAGACTCTCACATCCATTGGTTGCCTTTCATACACCCAATAAACAGGCCAACGCTCTAACCACTGAAGACACCAACGAGGGCCTCGTTAGAAACTTATGATCAGATCACCCTGTGAGGTTACTTTCCATAGGACTTCTATTTTTGTCCACACTTCTGTGATCATCCCCCCCAAAACCTATAATCCCCATCTACCCAAGTAAAGAACATCAGACAAATCCCTAACTGGCACTCCTCAAAACTGTGAAAGTTATCAAAACCAAGGAAACTCTGAGAAACTGTTGCAGACCAGAAGATGCTAGGAGATATGACAAATGAAATAATATACCCCACATAGGATCCCAGAGCAGAAAAAGAACATAGGGACGAAATAGTAAAATGCAAATAAACTGTGGAGTTTGATGAAACTGCCAAAAGAGATTATTAAGAGAAAAGAGCTTTCTATTCACATACTTACACAGTCGTTCACAGAAAAATATGATTCCAGGGGACAGTTAGAATTTGGGGCTTATACACCGTGGCTGGGGATGGAGCCTGCAACCAAAGGTTTGTGCCCTTAGCCAATATCGAACCTGGATCTTTCATTCTGCAGGTTGATACTATCCACTGAACCAAACCAGCTAGAGTAAAACTATCTTATTTTCCATCTTAGTCTCTCAAGTATTAAAAAAATCTAGCCAAGTCTTTAAAATTCCCATCTTTTTAAAAATATATATATATCTTATTGATTTTTTACAGAGAGGAATAGAGAGTTAGAGACATAGATCAGCTAGCTGCCTCCTGCACACCCCCTATTGGTTATATGCTCACAACCAAGGTACATGCCCTTAATTAGAATCGAACCTGGGACCCTTGAGTCTGCAGGCCGATGCTCTATCCACTGAGTCAAACCAGTTAGGGCTAAAGTTCCCATCTTAACATCTGCCTTAGAGCTCCTCTCCTCCCCCTAGGTAGGGCTCAGGGACCTGCCTCCTCCTCCTCCTAAACCTGCCTCCAGCAGATTGGGGCAGGAGGAGGGGGCTTGGGATCAGGTGCAGTCTTATTCCTTGGCTGGGATTGACAGGGTTTTCTGCACTGATTCGCAAAGGGCCCTGAGGCAGGAAATAATTTGGCATAATTAAGGAACTGAAAACATCCAGAGGCGGGAAAAGAGAGAGAGAGACTGGCAGTCTGCCCGCCAGCACTTCTAGGCACACAGACACACAAATGATTTTACATAAATGGGATCATACTCTATGTGCTGTTACTAACCAGTTTTGTTTTTCACTTAACGTCAATGACCAAGAATTGGCAAAGTGGGTGTGTTTTTAATCCAGTTTTTGCAAGGGAGAGAAACATACTTTGGTGGCTGCTGGAAATGCTAATTAGTATAAGCTTCCCCAAATGAAGCCTGTCAGCCACAAAAGAATGGGAAGAGAAGGGTGCCTGGAATGAGGTCCCCAAAGCACCAACATTTAAAAAGTGGGCAGAAGCCGGGACCGGTTTGGCTCAATGGATAGAGCGTCGGCTTGGGGACTGAAGGGCCCCGGGTTCGATTCCGGTCAAGGGCATGTACCTTGGTTGCGGGCATATCCCCAGTAGGGGGTGTGCAAGAGGCAACTGATCAATGACTATCTCTCATTGATGTTTCAAACTCTCTATCAATCTCCCTTCCACTCTGTACAAAAATCAATAAAATATATTTAAAAAATAATAATAAAAAATAAAATAAAAAGTGGGCAGAAGAAACTCTGCCAGGGAGAAGGAGAAGGACTAACCAGGAAAGTAGTAGGGAAAATCGGCAGTTGTGGTGGCAGGGAAGCCCAAGGAACATTATTAAAGGGAGAGAGACAAGATAGGTAAAAACCAAGACGATCCTTCAGGTGCAGCAACAGAGATGTCGTGCGTGGTCTTGACCAGAGTGGCCCCCAGGCAATGGTAAGACAGGGAAGGTGGGTTTCAGTGGTTTGAGGGGTGGAGGGTGAAAAGGTGTATGTAGGCAATTCTTTTAGGCCATTTGACTTTGAAGGGAGGAAAAGAAAGAGTGTTGGCTGGAAGGATATTTGGAGCAAGGCAGGATTTTTCTTTACCTGAAGGAACCCATAAGAGAGCGAGAAGTTTAAGATATAAAGGCTGTTCCCTAACTGGGGCCTATTCTTGGGTAGAAGAGCCCCATTGATTCAGGGTCTAGAAGCCAGTCAAGGGACAAGCCTTGGCTGGCAATGAAGTCTAGAATGGGAGAGCCAGGGTGGTTAGAAGACAGTGAGCAGCCTTGGGGGCGTAAACTGCCCTTAGAGGAAGCAGTGTCTGCTCACAGTGTCCAGGCTGAGGCCAGCTGCCCGTCTGAAGTCCCACCCACCCTCTTAGGTGCCTCTCCAGCCTTGGAAACCTCCGGGGTTGCCTTGGACGTGGCTTCCCCTGTCCAAAACAGGTGTATTGTTTCTGTTTCAGCAACCAGTGCTCTGTGTATATTTTCTACAGTGGTGGCTGATTCTCACACTTTTGCCTGGAGTCACCTGGAGGGTTTGTTAGCTTCCTTGGACCACACCTTCAAGCATGTGATTCAGTAGGTCTAAGGTGGAGCCTGGTAACTGCATTTCCAACGTGTTTCCATGCCTTTGGTGCTTTGAGAACCGCTTCCCTAGAGAAAGCCAATACCCCTAGAAGGTTCTGGAAGAACACTTAATGGGCTTTTGTACTTTGCTCCAGAAACTAGTCAATACTCATGCTTATACAGCAAAGGGCAGCCACGCGCGAGGTGAGTCCTCTATGTGTGTTGGTGGTCCAAGATGGCCAAGTCCACAAGCCCAGTCTCAGGCACAGAGGCCCACATCAGCCCGGAGAGGGAACGGAAGGCAGCTCGCTGGTGGAAGGCTAAAATCCTCAGAGATGATGCTCCCAGGAGTCTTTTAAGGACAGTCACCGAGCTGGGTCAAATGGCAGGGGTCGGGAACACCGTTCCAACCGCAGGACCAGTCGGTGCAGAAGTAGGACCCAGCGAGTAAGAAAAGCGAGGCTGACTGAGGGATTTCTTCCTGCCCCGCCGCGTGTCCAGGCTTATGCAGTGAGGTAGGCAATGGTAGCAAACAGCCAGGCTCAAGCCCTTCTCCGGCTCCTCCGCAGCAGCGCCGCCTACGACCGGCAGAGGGCGCTCTCCACGGAGCCTGTCCGGTTCGCGGCCGGGCTGCGCCTGCGCGGGATCGGCTTGGGGGGAGGGGGGGGAGGAGAGGCCGGTCCCGCGCCTGCGCACTCGGAGTAAGATGGCGGCGGCGGCGGCCCGGCTGGGCTGCGGAGCTGCGGCTCGTGCCGCCGGCTTGCGCAGGCGGTAGGTGACACATCCTGAGCTCCGCGTAGGGGTGCCGCTGGGTTTAGCCAGCGGAGCGGGATCCGCCCTGCCCGCTCCCTCGGACGGAGCGGTGACAGGTGCCTCTGGCCGAGCCTTCGGGCCGCCCTTGGGGTTGAGCCCCGGCGGTGGGTCCTCCGGCAGCTCCGAGGCCCCGGTGGGGTGGGCTCTGCGCTGCCCGGTCCCGGGCTGGAGACCCCCCCGTACCCGGGTCCCTGCGGAGGGGAGCTTTGCAGAGCGGCTGTAGAGACCCAATGCAAGAGCTATTTTTATATTTATTTATTTTTAAATCTTTGTTGTTGAAAGTGTTACATATATTCCCTCTTCCCCCCCCTCCCCCCATGGACCTCTGCCGCCCCGCAGCTATTTTTAAATAGTGTAAATCGTGTGGTCCTTCTAGCATTTCACCACGTGCATTCCATCCTTTGTCTTTTACTTATTTTTATTTCTTAAATATGTTTTTATTGGTTTCAGGGAGGAAGGGAGAAGGAGAGAGAGAGGAACATCAATGGTGAGAGAGAATCATTGATCTGCCGCCTGTTAGAGCCCCCCCCCTCCCCCTCACTGGGGACCCAGCCCTCAGGGGCAGGTGCCCTGACCAATGGGAACTTGGCCTCCTGGTTCATAGGTCCACGCTCAACCACTGATCCACGCCTGCGGGCCCTCCTTGGCCTTTTAAACATGAAAAGTCAGGATGTGGTAAAATAATACCTCCTCTCATTTCTTCATTTTCCCAGTGAAGCCCAGAAAGGGGGCGCAACCTGTCTGAGGTCACACAGCAGCCAAGTGATGGCACTCGGAGAAGCCAGACCCCTGGATTTCCTCCCCTTCACTTAAACCCACTGCGTGCCCTTGTTTTGCCCTGCCCCTGTGCGCCTTGCCAGTGATCATCTGCCAATATACATGGATTATTTGGATCCATCTTTGCTCACGTCTTTCTAAGAGCTGTGAATATTAAATTCATTTTAGGGATGCAGAACTGAGGCCACGATGCTAGCTGCTCCAGGGACATAGGAATGAAGACAGTCCTCCCCCTTAACGAGTTTGCAAGTGAAAATAATCAGGTGTTTATGCTAAGTGACGTAAGCCAATTTGAGAAAGACAAATACCACGTGATTTCACTTATTTGTGGAATCTAATGAACAAAATGAATTGACCAATAAAAGACCTGAAGTTTGGATGCATGGAACAGATTGACATACCTTGATGGAGGGTTGAGGGGATGGGAAGAGATAAACCAAAGAACTTATTCCTTAGATGCATAGCCCATGGACATCAGCAATAGGGTGGGGAAAATCTGGGGGGTGAGTAGGGGCCAGGAGGATAGGGTAAAGGGGGATAAATGGGAGACATGTGGAATACTGTCAACAATAATAAATATACACAAAAAAATAATCATGTTAAAAAAAAGTGATCATTGTATATGCTTAAAATGCCTCTGATTCCTGTGAAATGAAAATGGTAATATTTTACAGTAAACTAGATTTCAAAAGAACTTGCATCAGATTTCTAAAATTTTCACTGTTAAACTCTCTCTTTATTTCCGTTCCAGTAATAATGTTTTTTTCCCCTTTCTCCTTGTTATTATTTTATTTATTTATTTTTAATCCTCACCCGAGGATGAGGATATTTTTCCATTGATTTCTAGATAGAGTGGAAAGGGAGTGGGGCAGGAGAGGGGAGAGAGAAACATCAATGTGGCAGGACTCATCCATTGGTTGCGTCTTGACTGGGAATTGGACCTGCAACCCAGGTACGCCCTTGACCTGAATGGAGCCTGTGACCTCCGGTGAGCAGGCTGATGATGCTCAGGGCTCTCCTTGTTTTTAATTTGCCAAAGGATTGCAAAAATAGCCAATCAACACTTTCTCTATTGTAATGTAATAGCTAAAGTTACAGTACTAATATACTTCCAATCAAAGATGGTGGCTTCTTGAGCAGTTTATACTTTCTGCTAGACTTTGTGAAGTATTGAAATAACTTTCAAACCATAGAGTATAGGTTATTTCTTTCTAGGGAAGTGTAGAAACAGGAAAGGAGGACTTTTCACTGTATTTTCTTTTTTCCTTTTAAATTTGGAAGCATGTGAGTCTATTACCTCATTGACGTTTTTTAAAATAAGGGGAAAAACTGTAGTTCTTTGCCTCCACGCATATCTAACTTAACTACGAGTCTGGAACTTGAGATTATGAATCAAGAGTGTAGATATATTTGTTTCTTACACCAGCTATTGCACTATCCTGTGTGCACTCAATTATCAAGGATGTAAATTTCCCCTTGAGCTCTTGTGTTTTTTTTGTTTGCTTGTTTATATATTTTATTGATTTTTTACAGAGAGGAAGAGAGGGGCAATAAGAGAGTTAGAAACATTGATGAGAATCATCGATCAGCTGCCTCTTGCACACCCCCTGCTGGGGATGTGCCCACAACCAAGGTACATGCCCTTGACCGGAATCGAACCCGGGACCTTTCAGTCCGCAGGCTGACGCTCTATCCACTGAGCCAAACTGGTTTCAGCCAGCTCTTGTTTTTAAATTGTAGCTATTCTTGCCTGAGGAAGTGAAAGTCATGTTGTAGATAGAAAAATGTAAACTTGGCTTTATTGTTATTTTCATTATGGATTTTTATATATGAGAAGCAGAAACAACTTAAAGATTCTTAAAATGTCATTTTTGTCTTTAAATGTAGGTTATATGACATGATGAAACCATACACCATTAAGAAACAGCCTCTGCATCAGTTTGTGCAAAGACCACCTGTCCCACTATCTGCAACCTTACGTAACACAGGTAAAATTTCACCTCTTTCAGGGCACATTGTGTTTCAGAAGATAAACTGCTTGAATGAAATTTTGTAGGTCATAAAAGGTGAGAATTTGTAAATTTTATCTTCAGGTACCTATAAAATAATATAGCATTTTTTTTCCTATCAAAACTTCACGTTTTGCTTTAATTATTTGCTTACATGTATCATTGGTATTTCAAGAATCCTGAGTACAGTGTCAAATAGAGCTATGAAATTTCAGTATCTTGTATAACACAAACTTTGAAACATAAGAGTTGCTTAATAAATGATTTCTGAGATGCAGATATTGTAAAAAGTTACAAATGAATTTGTGTTTCAAAGAATCATGTATTCTAAGTTCTTACCCTTCTTATTTTTATAAGAATATCTCTGAAGCCAGTAAATTTCTAGTTTTCATCCACACCATAGAACTTAGTATTTTGAATGTATTTTTTTCTGGTCAAAATAAGTCTGTTTTTTTTTTGTTTTGTTTTGTTTTTTTCAATCTGGTTGGTATTATATGCTTTTACTTTCTTTAATATTGAAAATGGGTATGAGGATAGGATTTGAAAATTATTTAAATAGGACCATTATCGTGTCATATTGGGAGGAGCTGTTGTGTGGCTAGGCAAACTTGGAAGGAAAAAGCATATATCTGTTTGTAAATACCTATCTATGTGTACTTATGGAGCTGCAAAAGTGGATTCAGCTCCTGCCCATTTCTATTTCCATCACTACCTTGAACACCTCCTGGCCATACTCTGGAAGGTGACTGACTGACTAATGGCATGAGTTGGATTAGGTTATAGACCACATCTCCCCTGTGTACTGGAGCAAGAACAGGAGTACATTGCCTCTCGAATCACAGAATAATTTAGGTATAAATATTGAGTTTCTCAACATATTAAGATACTTTAATTGGACTTTAAATTTCTGTGGGACTGAATTATGTGATTACCTAGGCTTTCTAAATTGGAGGGCTGCTGATTTTAATCTTTGATACTGACTTTAAGCACCATTAATCTTTGTTTTGGAGGAACTTATGTCTACCTCTTTACCAAGAATAATAGGAACAATTATTTTAGATCAGTCTTTCTATCCTGGTGTAACCCTTATGCCACTTTCAGGGGCATCTTTCTAGCTGATGGACCTGGGAATCATTTTTTAATTGAAGCCAATTTAGACCATAATTGGAATAATTTTGTTAATACCCAGTCAAATCACTTTTTTGAAATAGCTTTGTTCATTGTCAAAAGAAAATTTATATAATGATGTCCATATATTATTTTCTACTTCAGATTTTGCTCTCTTAACAATTTTTTTTATACTTATAGTTCCTACCTTCAAGTATTTCTAAACATTTTTCTTTCTGTATATATAGTTTTACATAAATAGATTGAGTTGAATAAAAGCTCGATTTAATTATTTAAATTTTGGAAGAGTGCCTAATGTGTGTGGCGCTTTTGGCTACCAATAAGTTATTAAGAAAGGTTGCAAGAAATGATTGGTCAGAACCACAGTTAGAAGAACCTTGTTATCTTTATATTTGCAGAAAGCCTTTTCTTTAATGTTCCATCTAAAAAACTGTTTTCTTATAACACACATTTTCAGAGGCTTTTATTGGTTAGAGGTATAAATATTTTAAACCAAGCACTTGAACACTGAGGCTATCATTTAAAACTTTTCTCTTTTTTAGGACTTTCCTAGTCATCAAGTCACCAACTGATATCTTAAATAAGCAAAATGTATGGGACTTTAGTTTCAATTTCTATTTCACCAAGGAAATGATTCAACATCAGTTAGCTGGAACTGTAGGGCAAGGTGCAAAAACAGTTCTCGGCTGTCAAGTTAAAATCTTGTAATAAAAGCACTTTCATAACAACCATATGTTTTGCCAGATTTAACCTCTAATTTAAAATAAAACTGTTACCAGCGATCAGATTCTCAAACCTCAGAGGGAAAGTAAGTGGGGATGGGGGTAAGGAGAAGAGATCAACCAAAGGACTTGTGTGTATACATATGGGCCTCGCCAGGGGCCATGGACAACAGGGGGGTGGGGGCATATCTAGGGAGGGGTTTGGGATGGGAATGGGGGAATAAGGACAATTATGTGAGACCATAATCAATAATAATACATACATATATATATATATATATATATATATATATATATATATATATTTAAAAAATAAAATAAAACTGTTGCCTTTTTTATATTTTCCTGTCTTTTCTAGGATGTGTGGTATGAGAATTATGACAAGATAGAAAGACTGATTTTATATATATTTTTCCGTTATGCTTGACATTGATAAGTATGGAGTGGCAATATGCACAATGGTTAAACAAGGCAGTGCTGGAAAATCGGCAGTTTTATCACTTTAAATAGCTGAGTGACATTGGGCTTTAGTTTCCTCATTTATAAAATAGGATAAAAACTACTTCCTTTGCAGAATGTGAGGAGTAAGCATCATGCCTAGCACATGTATTGATTTTAGAAAGAGAGAGGAAAGGGAGAGAGAGATGGAGATATACATGGATTCATTGTTTCACTTATCCAGGCACTCACTGGTTTTGTATGTACCCTGATTGGGGATTGAACCCACAACTTTGGTGCATCAGATGATGTTCCAACAGACCAAGCTACTTGGCCAGGGCCCAGCACATGTTAATAACCTAGTGAATTAACCTATTTCAGAGGTGAGAATTGGTGTGTGTTTTTTGGTCAGAAGGTGTGTTTGTTTTAAAACTGTTAAAATCCCAGTACTATCTATCTTTTTGTCTTACAAGTTATATTAACAAGGTAGGGAATTAAAGATTTTGTTTTCTAATTGAAGAACATTCTCAAACTAATCATGGCCCTAGAAAAAAGAAAAGAACTTACAATGACAATATTTTTGTTGTTATTAATTTTCACCCGAAGATTTGGGGGTTTTTTTCATTGATTTTTAGAGAGAGTGTAAAGGGATGGAGAGCGAGAAAGAGAGAAACATCAATGTGAGAGAGGTGCATTGATTGGTTGCTTCCCACGTTCACCCTGACTGGGCCTGCGATCAAACCTGTAACTCACGTAGGTGCCCTTGAACAGGAATCGAACCTGTTGGTTCTTGGGCTGATGCTCTAACCACTGCAAAATCTGCCAAGGCTGTAAAGTTACTTTTTTAAAAAAAATATATATATTTTATTGATTTTGTACAGAGAGGAAGGGAGAGAGATAGAGAGCTAGAAACATCGATGAGAGAGAGTCATCGATCAGCTGCCTCTTGCACACCCCCTACTGGGGATATGCCCGCAACAAAGGTACATGCTCTTGACCAGAATCGAACCTGGGACCCTTTAGTCCCCAAGCCGACGCTCTATCCATTGAGCCAAACCGGTCCCGGCTGTAAAGATACTTTTAAGTATTCCAGAAAGTAAGTCACATAGATTCCCACTTACATGATAATTTATAGTGTCATTCTTCTTTTTGTAAAAAGGGAGTAATAGTACCTTCTTCATAGGTTGTTAAAGGCATACTTACATTTAAAGCACTGGACCCACCCTGGCTGCTTTGGCTCATTTGGGCATTGTTCCAAACACTCAAAGGTTGCGATTCCTGATCAGAGCATTTGCTCTGATAGTGGGTGTGCAGAGGTAGCCAACTGATGTTTCACTCTTACATTGATATTTCTTTCTCTCTCTCTCTCTCTCTCTCTCTCTCTCTCTCTCTCTCTCTCTCTCTCAGAATCAGTTAAAAAAAAAAAGCACTCAACTCAGTCCTTGGCAAGTACCTACTAAGCACACAATAAATAGTAGTTATTAGATATTAAAATTTTTTTGTCTTTAAAAGGCTGGTAGTACTTTGGAAGAAGAGAATGTAATATTTTAGTATATTAATATCACAGTGATAATGATTTATGATTATGATAGCCATTGGTATTAAGTCACCACATAGAATACATATAATTCCTGAACTATTATATATATATATATATATATATATATATATATATATATATTTATATATATATATATATACACCTTCCTACTTAAATATAGGATATTACTAGAATCTGTTGAGTAGCAAAACTAAATAATCAAAATTAATATAAAATTCAAAGTAGTTATATATCGGTAAATTGCCTTCTTGTCTTTAAAAATCCTTATTTTGTCAGGTTGGGCAATAAAATCTTTTCTTACTTTTTTTGGATCTCTGAAAATGAGCATTTCATAGTTCATAAATTGTTAACTACTTTATTTTCCAGATTAACATTATTTCTTCTTTTCTTCTCTTTTAGTGAGACACATGTTTATTCAAACACAAGATACCCCAAATCCCAACAGCTTAAAATTTATTCCAGGAAAACCAGTTCTTGAGACAAGGACCATGGATTTCCCTACACCAGCTTCAGCATTTCGCTCCCCTCTGGCTAGGTATATTACTAGTTTTCACTTGCTTTTACCAAGAAACCTAATTAACTGACTTTGGGGTTACGGCAGCTTCATTTAGCTATTGCATTTTTTATGTGCGCTGCATTTTTTTTTTTTTTTTTTTTTTTTCAGAGAATGCTTCATTTTCAGATAAGGAGTAAAAAACGAAAGAGTTGATATTAGGAAAGTCTTCTCCTGAAAAGTGATGTAGTGAGAGATCTGTATCATCCTATATAATAAAAGCCTAATAGGCTAAGTGTCTGGTCGTCTAGTCGTCTGGACCAATCAAAGATATGCTAAGACTGCTCAACTGCTCACTAGGATGTGCACTGACCAGATGCTCCGACCGGTAGGTTAGCTTGCTGCTGGGGTCCCACTGATCGGAACTGAGCAAGATGGGCCAGACACGCCCTGGAGCTCTCCCAAGTCCCTCCCCGATCGTGCACTGGTAGGTCCCTTGGCCTGGCCTGTGCCCTCTCGCAGTCTGGGCTAAGGGACTCTTCCCGCAGTGCATGAATTTTGTGCACCGGGCTTCTAGTGACTATATAAAAATTTATATCTTAAGAAAAATAATACATCAAAGTGATAATATTGTTAATTTTCATTCTAAATCTTTTATTTTTTAAAATATATTTTATTGATTTCAGAGAGGAAGGGAGAAAGAGAAAGAGAAAGAAACATCAATGATGAGAGAGAATCATCGATTGGCTGCCTTCTGCAAGCCCCTTACTGGTATCGAGCCTGCAACCCAGGCATGTGACCTGACTGGTTCATAGGTCGGAGCTCAACCAACTGAGCCACATGGGCCAGGGCTCCATTCTAAATCTTTAAAACTGTTTTTAATAAGCAATGAAAACTTACTTGTTTAATTCTTAAGGATAGCTGCATTTCTAGAAGTCTCAAATGGAATCATTTATAAAATATTTCACTCAGAACTATAAATTATAATAATTATCAGATATGGGATGATTTAACAACAAAACAAAACTATTCAGTTAAATCCTGGCTGGTGTGGCTCACTAGGTTGGAGCATCGTCCTGTGCACCATTAGGTGATGGGTTTGATTTCCCAGGAGGCATATACCCAGGTGGTAGGTTTGAACCCTGGAAGGCGGCACATCAATGTTTCTCTTTTTCTCTCCCTTCCTCTCTGAAATCAATAAAAAAAAAAAAACGAACTACTCAGTTGAGACAGTTTTTAAATTCACTAAATAGAGACAAGGTAAGTATATATCAATATAGTATAAACAATAAAATTGGAATGTAACTTTTTAGCTGATAGCTAAATAAATTATTTATAATAAGAAATAGAGTCAATATCAACTGACATTTTTAGTAAGCTGTGCCTGATCCTGATTACCAAGGATATTTAGAAAATATCACTTAAATAATTTTCTCCATATATACCCAAATCTCATTTAGGGGAGTCAGAAATATGTTTATCTCAAGAATGGTTTTTAAAATCTCTAATTAATAAAAATACGTATTTCTTTGACCTAAACATGCTTGTCAGAATATTCCTTAGAGCATTTGTTTTTATAATTTTCGATACAAGCCTCAATAATAAATGTTTTATGTTATGACTCAACACGCACACCACATACACATATATACACATACAGGTATCCATATATTGTATATGTGAACATAGATACACACAGATATATATATATATGTATGTATGTATATGTATATATACATATATGTGTGTGTGTGTATGAAACAAGTGTTTGATGGGACAGTTTCACCCTTATGTAATGCATTCTTATATTTTGTTTCTACTTTTTTATTCTGTTCTATTTTATTAGATAACATTTTGGTCACTACATAATTGATTTCACAACCTGCTGCTGGGCTTAAAAAATAACTCTAGAGAATGCCCGCATATGTACACAAGGTGTGTGTAAGGAGGTTCATTGTAGCCTTGTTGGTAGGGGAATAAGTTAGAAACAATCAAAATATTCATTAGTAGGAAGAGTTAGATAAACATTGTTCATCCATGGTCTTCACATATTAAAAGGATGAGAAGGACCCATATTTACCCATCACAGAATGACCTCTAAGATATACTTTTAAGTGAAGAAAGCAAGTTTCAGGACAGTAAGTGCAGTATGATTATTATATGTATAAAAACAAACAAAAAAGCAAAACATATGCCTCATAAAGGCTTGCACATAAATCTATATAGTAGCATTTTTTAAAATAGCTTCATCCCCCAAAATCTGGAAATGTCCATCAACTGTGGAATGGCTAAAAAGGTTGTAAATGCCCATATAATGTAATACTACTCGACAATAAAGTAGAATGAACAATTGATACACATAAAAAAAGGATGACTCTTAAAAGCATTATGATAAGCTAAATGCAAAAGACTGTATGGTTTCATTGATATGAAACTCTAGCAAAGGCAAAGCAGTAGTGGCATAAAGGTCAATAGTTACCAGGGTGACAGATGTGCTAACTAACCTGATTGTGGTAATAATGTCACAGTATGTATGTATATCAAGTCATCACGTTGTGCACCTTCAACTTATACAATGTTTTATGTCAATTATATTTCAGCGAAGCTGGAAACATTTTTTAAAGCGAAAATAAAAAAGTAAAAAGTTATTTCCATAAAACAAGTTAATAGAACATGAAGGTAAAGCAAGAGGGCTGAATACAAAGGGAAATGAAGGATCTTTTCAGTAATAAAAATGTTTTATAGTTTTATTGTGGGGTTGCTCGGGGAAAATGATTAAACTAGATTGACCATGACTTGAAACTAATGATAGATACATGGAAGTTCTTTTATTTTTCTCTGTACTTTTATGTATAAACTTTTCATAATTAAACATTTTATTATTTCATTTTTTGTTTTTTTCACAGGCAATTATTTAGGATTGAAGGAGTAAAAAGTGTCTTCTTGGGACCAGATTTCATCACTGTCACAAAGGTAAACATAGGGGGATATAAAATAAGATGTAAAGCACTTTTAGTTTTTCTGAATCAAGTGTTCTCCAGAATTTCCATTCTTAATGTATTTTATACATACTGTTATTTAAAAAAATCTCAAGTTTACTTCTCACATTTCTTAAGTTAATTATTTAATATAATTTCCAGATCCCTCTTTTTTTAAAAGGGAAAAATTTGAGCTTCAAGATTGTATAGGTAGCCAATAGCAGGGCCAAGACTTAACCTTGGCAGGTCTAGAATTTAGGCTTCCAAGTATTATTTTTACTAACTTTTAATTCAAATTGATAGAGTAAAAAGAGAAGGAAATAAATAATTACACACTACATATTTGAGCAACAGAATGATTTAATATATATATATATCTCCTTTCAAAGTGGGCACTTACATCATGGCATCTGACCCATTCTACCGTCCTGCAATAACCCTTTAGAGCTTCATACATAAGAGCAGTGGACTGCAAGTTCTTACATTACCCATTGCAACAGCTAACATGGTATCTGCTAGAAAAGGCTGTTTCATGTTTAAGTCTGCTAGGTTAATGAGAAATGAACTATTTAAATTTGTACTACGTATGTATCCTTTTAAATCTATTAATTGATATGTATATACTGGATTTAATCATTTGTATAATTTCACATCAAAATAAAAAGTATTCTCTCAACTCCTCTTAAACAGTTTAAAAGGATTACTCTGAGTTCTTCATGTACCAAAAAGTGGACATACTGGGTTAGTTCATTAGCGTGTTACATCTAGTCCAGCATTCTTTTGTAGCTGTTTCTCAGAAAGCCCTTTCTTGACCTTATTTGTAAAAGTGGCATTTCTCCCAGGTGCTCATTACCCTGTTCATTTTCTTTTATTTAAAAAAAAAACACACATATTATTCTCTTGACTTCAGAGAGGAAGGGAGAGGCAGAGAAAGATAGATACATCAATGATGAGAAAGGATCATTGATTGGCTGCCTCCTGCACACCTGCTACCGGGGAATGAGCCCACAACCTGGGTATGTGTCCTGACTGGGAATTGAACCGTGACCTCTTGGTTCATAGGTCCCTGTGAAATCATTGAGCCACACCAGCTGGGCTCCTGTTCATTTTCTTCATTCTTCTTATCTTAATCTTATTTTTTATATTTATTCCCTGTCTTTCCTGCACTAGAATATAAATCCTGTGAATATAAAAATTGTCCATCTTGTTAAGATCCTCTAGAACCGTGGTTGGCAAACTGCGGCTCCAGAGCCATATGCGGCTCTTTGGCCCCTTGAGTGTGGCTCTTCCACAAAATACCATGGCCTGGGCGAGTCTATTTTGAAGAAATCACATTAGAAGAAGTTTAAGTTTAAAAAATTTAGCTCTTAAAAGAAATTTCAATCGTTGTGCTGTTGATATTTGGCTCTGTTGATTAATGAGTTTGCCGACCACTGCCCTAGAACAACAATCACCTAGAACAATGCCTGGCATATAGTGCATGCAAATGAGTTTTTCTAGAAGGAAACAGTTTCTAAATTAAATTTTCAGCCTTCAAGTGGCTTCCCAAAAATGTAGGATCATGGTGAGCAAATCTGTAGTCTTTTCAGTTTAGAGACACCTGGCCTATCCTTTTTATTCAGTTTTCTTTCTTTGATATTTTTTGAGGGGAAAAAAAAGGACCAATATTTATTTAATGTCTCACATGTAGGATAGCATGAGTGCTTTACATATATTATCTGGTTTAATTCTTCTAACTAGTCTTTATTTTACAAACAGGAAATTACGTATTTATTTTAAGGCATTTTTATTTAGTTCTTTAACATATAGTTTATGCTATGTAATATTTTTTAGATAAAAACATGTGATTATATCTTACAGGTTTTTTTTTCTTGATTTGATTTTGGTAAGTCATCTTTCATTTCCCTTCCCCTTCATAATTTAGTTACCCTTTTTAAAATTTCTTTAGCTCCACTATTTTTTCTTAATGACATGACAGCTAATAAATAATATTCCAAATGAGGGCACACATTGATATTTAATAGGTAGAATAGCAGATTGCATTTGTGTGTTTTTTCTTTTTTTTTAGTTAACCATCCTCATTATGGACTATTCCATTTACCTGACATCTTCAGTAATCACTGTTTCCCTTTTGATCTGTAATTGATAATTCAGAGGCTTCTTTGTGGATCACTTATGATTTTTTTCTAAATGTGAAAGTGTATTTTCAGCTTATATGCTGCCTTTTTGTCTCATTCAACTTCAGGAAATTTTTCTTTTTGTTACCAAGATTTCCTTACTCAATAGAACCCAATGTTTATTGAAGATCTGAGGTAACCCTTTGATCTGTCTTCCAAATATTATAATTTATTAGAATATTACCTCTAACTTGTTCTTACCTCTAACAATCTCAAAGATTGTTACTAGTTTTGCTTTTGTATCCACAGTAGTACCCATTTATCTTCGCTCTGTGTACTGCCTTTAAATTGGTTCTTAATCCATTAAAATATCATTCTTATTCATGTAGCCTCTATTTTTTATAGTCTTTAAGCATAGACCCTAGCCAACAGTTTCCTGAGAGTCTGAGTAGACTGCATCTAATAGTTTTTCCTTCTAGAAAAACTATTTTCTTTTCTTTTTAAAAAATTATTTTTAAATTCTTACCTGAGAAGATGTGTATGTCTGTGTGTTTCAATTGATTTAGACAAAGAGAGAAACATCAATGTGTGAGAGAAACGTTGATTGGTTGCCTCCTGTACACATCCTGACTGGAGATTGAATCCGAAACCTAGATGTGTGCCTTCACTGGGAATTGAATCTGCAACCATTTTGGTGTATAAGACGATATTCAACCTTTTGAGCTACCTGGTCAGACTAAAGAGATTTCCTTTAAAAAACTAAAACAATAGCCCAGCCAGCAAGGCTCAGTGGTTGAGCATCAACCTATGAACCAGGAGTCATGGTTTAATTCCCAGTCATGACACATACCTGGGTTGTGGGCTCAATCCTCAGGAGGGAGCATGCAGGAGGTAGCCAATCAATGATTCTCCCTCATCATTAATGTTTCTATACCTCTCTCCCTCTGCCTTCTTCTCTGAAATCAATAAAAAATATTAAAAAACAGCCCACCCTGGTGTGGCTCAGCGATTGAGCGTCAACCCAGGAACCAAGAAGTCACCGGTTCAATTTCCGGTCAGGGCATATGCCTAGGTTGTGGGCTCAATCCCAAGTGGGGGGCATGCAGGAGGCAGCCGATCAATGATTCTCTTTCATCACTGATATTTCTATCTCTGTCTCCCTCTCTCTTCCTCTCTGAAATCAACAAAAATATATTAATATATATATATATTAAAAAACAAACCTAAAACAATATATCCTGCTTTTCTCTTTTTTAGGCATTAGTACTATTTAGGTATTTAAGAATTATACCCTTTTTAAAAATGGAATCAACTAGTTGGTCAGATTTGGGGGTGAAATAGCTATCGATTCTTTTTTTTTAAATTAAATTATTATCTGTGTACATATCTTACCATTGACCCCGCCCACCCCCATACATATCCTCACTCCCCAGAGTTTTATCGATTCTTTCTTGAGGATACTGGTCTTGGTGACAGTTCACAAGTCTTCTAGCCCAGTAGCCATAGATAAGACATGTTAGAAGTTTTGGTTCTACAGTTGTGTCATTGGATTTTGTCAATACTCTTAAGTAGTATAAGTAAATTGAATTTTTTAATAGTTGTCAGATATCTTACATATTTGATCAGTTAATCCTATTTTATTTAAAAGAAGGGGAAATTCATTCTCTCTCTCTCTCTCTCTCTCTCTCTATATATATATATATATATATATATATATATATATAATATAATTTTTTAAAATATATTTTTATTGATTTTACACAGAGAGGAATTGAGAGGGACAGAGAGTTAGAAATGTCGATGAGAGAGATACATTGACCAGCTGCCTCCTGCACACCCCCCACCGGGGATGTGCCCGCAACCAAAGTACATGCCCTTGACCGGAATCAAACCTGGGACCTTTCAGTCCGCAGGCCAACGCTCCATCTACTGAGGCAAACCGGTTTCGGCTCATTATATTTTAATTTTAATTATTTTTAGAGTGAGAGGAGAGGGAGAAAAATACATTAATGTATTGTTCCACTTATTTATGCATTCATTGGTTGATTCTTTTTTAAAATCAGGCTTTAAATTTTTTTTTTAATTAAAAATATTTATTGATTGATTTTTTTTTTTAGAGAGAGAGAGGAAGGGGAAAAGAGACAGACAGGCAGTGATTTGTTCCACTTGTTTATGCATTCATTGGTTGATTCTTGTATCTGCCCAGACTGGAGATCAAACCTGCAACCTTGACATATTGGGACAACACTCTAGTTAACTGAGCTACCTGGCCAGGGCCATTGGTTAATTCTTTTATTTTTTTGTTAATCATCACTTCAGGATATTTTTTCCATTGATTTTTAGAGAGAGTGGAAAAAAGGTTGGGAGGGAGTGGGAGAGAGACATTGATTGGTTGTCTCCCACACACACCCTTACTTGGGCTGGGGATGGAACCTGCAACCCAGGTACATGCCTTTGACTGGGAATTGAACTCAAGACCCTTCAATGTGAGGGCCAATGCTTTAACCACTGAAGAACACTGTACAGGGCCAGCCAGAGCCTCTTTATCCTCATTAACATAGAGAATCCTTATTCAATATTTTAATTGTCTTCACCTCATGAAAAAATATTTTTTCATCATTTTGATATCCCCTATATAGGATATGATATATATACAGCACACTTACAGTATAAGTTTGATGAATGAATGAATGAGAAATGTTCTAGGATTGTATCTTCTGAAAGTTATCATAAGCCATATTCTTTAAACTGGACCTGACATGTATTCTCCAGAAATGGGTACTGCTGCATAGCACAGGATATATATATATAGGAAAAGATTCTTAAAAGATACAAAGTCTTGTTTTATATTTGTCTATGCCCTTGGGTAGAAATTATAGCATTTTTCTTCAAATATTTACAGGAAAGTGAAGAGTTAGACTGGAATTTACTGAAACCAGATATTTATGCAACAATCATGGATTTCTTTGCATCTGGCTTGCCCTTAGTCACTGAGGAAACATCTTCAGGAGAAGCAGGTGATATGTTGGATAATTAATATTTACCTTTTAAAAAAAAACAAAACAAACTTTTCTACATTCTTTTCATTTGCCTTGATTTTAGAAATCATGGAAGTACAGATTTTTATCATTGTACTATATTTATCTCTGGAACCAATTCTAAGGAAATAAAACTTCATATATACTAGTTTTGCCCATCATTTTTGAAAATCTTTAAATAAATTGAATCTGTTACACAAAAGTAAATTTTTTAATTGTAAAAATTTTCAAACATACAGAAAATAGTATAAAGCTTGCCAATTTGCCATCCTCTCAGATTTAACAAATGTTAATTTTTTGCTATAATTGCTTTTAACCCACCCTATATAATAAAAGCCAAATATGCTAAGTGTCCAGTCATCTGGTTGTCCCTTCAACCAAAGTGTAATATGCTAATGATGTGCTAAAGCTGCTCAACTGCTTGCTGTGATGTGCACTGACCACCAGGGGGCAGACACTTCAACTGGTAGATTAGCTTGCTGCTGGATCTAGCCAATGGGCACTGAGTGAGACAGGTTGGATGTGCCGTGGAGCCCTTCGTCGGTCCCTCCCCAGCTAGCCAACATCTTGTGTCCCTCCCTGGTCCTGATTGTGCACCTGTGGGATCCCTCAGCCTGGCCTGTGCCGTCTTGCAATCTGTGACCTTTTGGGGGACATCAGAGAGCCTGTTGCAGCCCAATCCTGCAGGCCAGGCCGAGGGGCCCAACCGATGCACAAATTTGTGCACCAGGCCTATAGTATTTAATAAAATATTAAAGACATAGCCAAAGCCCTACAACCCCCATCCCTTTTCCCTTTCTGCTTCCAGAGATGTATGTAAACTCTGTCTTAAACTTTTTCCCCTAAAAATATTTTTATTGATTTAAGAGAGGAAGGGAGTGAGAGAGGAATCAATGATGAGACTCATCAATTGGCTGCCTTTTGCACATCACCTACTGGGGATCAAGCCCCCAACCCAGCATTTGCTCTTAACCAGAATCAAACCTGGGACCTTTCAGTCTGCAGGCTGATGCTCTGTCCACTGAGCCAACCCAGGTAGGGCTAAACTTGGTTTGTTTTAAGACATTTATTACAAATACAAGTGTCTGCAGGGAATATATAACATTGGTTTTTGATTTTAAACTTTAAATAACTTGTGTTATATGCAACTTTTCTCTTTTTCACTGAGTATAACATTTTAAAATACATCCATTTTGAAAAAAAGTTTAGTTATCCTGCTGGTAAATAAATTTCTCAAAAATATTTAAAACCAGCCAAAACCGGTTTGGCTCAGTGGATAGAGCGTTGGCCTGTGGATTGAAGAGTCCCGGTTTCAATTTCGGTCAAGAGCATGTATCTTGGTTGCAGGCACATCCCCAGTGGGGATGTGCAGGAGGCAGCTGGTTGATGTTTCTCATCGATGTTTCTAGCTCTCTATCCCTCTCCCTTCCTCTCTGTAAAAAAAATCAATAAAATATATTAAAAAAATATATATTTAAAACCAATAAAAAGGCATTGGTGAAAATCATTATATAACCTTATAAAGTAAAATAAAAATGAAACAATTTAAAAGCAACTTTTTGCTTAGAATTGAAGAACATTTTAGAAATTAACATAGGCTTACATCTATATTTAGTATGATCCTCATTTTGAAAACCACAAAATTAATAAATTGAAAATGTAACTTAACTGATGAAGTAGGTGTGCCCCCCCTTTTTGTTTCAAAGTTTCCATCAGTATCCAAACAACCTCTTATTTTCTTTCACTTTTTAATCCTTGAGAATGAGGAAAGTTTACAAATATATTGACCCTAAAATTGAAATCCTACTATCATTAGTAGGTTAAGTTATTTTGGCATACTCAACTTTATTGCCAGATATTGAATTGATCAATGCTCCTTAATTTTTCTTCTGAGAATTGAAGGAATGATCTTTTCATTTCCCTCAAATCACTTTATCACCATACCAGGTTGCATTTCCTGTGCTTTAATTTTTTAAACTAGAGGCCCAGTGCATGAAATTTGTACACTCAGCCAGCCTGTGCCCTCTCGCAGTTTGGGAGCCCTTGGGGGATGTCCAACTGCTGGCGTAGGCCCACTCCCCAGGGGTCTAAGCCAGCAATCAGACATTCCTCTCGCAGTCCGGGACCCCTTGCTTCTTACTGCTTGGCTCGCTGCTCCTTAGTGTTGTTGCGGAGGTGGGAGAGGCTTCTGCCACTACTGCTGTGCTCACCAGCTGTGAGCGCAGCTTCTGGCTGAGCAGCTCTCAACCCTGTGGGAATGCACTGACAATCAGGAGGCAGCTCCTGCATTAAGTGTCTTCCTCCTGGTGGTCAGAGCATATCATAGCAACTTGTCATTCTGCCATAGCAGTCGCTTAGGCTTTTATTATATAGATGAGATATTAAAATTAACTAGTTTAAAATTATTCTATCTTAATAGTACTTGTATATGCCTGATATAAAATGTCTACCGTTGATATGTTTTATTTGTAATTGTTTCTAGTATCTGAAGAAGATGATGAAGTTGTGGCAATGATTAAAGAACTGTTAGATACAAGAATACGGTATGTGCTTATCTTTCTACTTGAGATCATATATACTGCAGAGCCAATTTTTATTATAGCAATTTATGTTTGGTTGTCTGTGAGATTATAGTAGAGTTTTAAAAGAAGTATAAGTTAATGTAAACCACAGAAGGTTACCATGACAGTTGAATTTAAAGCCTGTATATTGTCTATATTCATCCACATTTTAAAACTAAACACAATCAGTAAAGGACTTTATCTTTCACAGTTACTGTTTAGATTTGATATTATTACAATACCAAATTTCTTAGAAAAAAAATTAGTTAACAGTGTTTGGGAAGATTGTGAGGAGAGGATTACTTGTATTTTAGGCTATTATCCATAAAATATAAAATTAAATAAGTAGAGAATTTCCTGCTCTGATTTTCTGCTTGTAGCAAACCAATGGTCCTGGTGTTAAGTTCCAGAAAAGCTAGGTAAAATACAATTAAAAATAACTTTGTGTGTGAAGGCATTAAATAGCTAACAAAGTAAACAATATCTGGTAGGGAAGAAAGCACAGTGAGGCTTCCCTCTGGCTTTTGCTGATTCTTGGTGTCAGGCTCGAGTATGAGAAGCTGGCTTGGGATATCTGCTAAGAATCAGAAAAACCATTTAGTTTTTGGCAAATTTGTTGAAGTGGGAAGACAAATTAAAATTCTGGGTCATCAATAAAGCTTTAACTTAAAGGGCCAAGATCTTAGAGAGAAGTTAAGAAAAAGCCTAACACTCAGAGGTTCTCCCCACATAGACTTGCTTATTCTTAGTTGTATAAGAGAACCTGGGTCAAACAAAAAGCATTTGGAATGCTAAACAGAGTTCTCACAGTTGTTCGGTTCTAGGAGTAACAAAAATTGGAGTTTAGGACCAGTCAAGAAGGTTGGGGCCTCAAAAAACATCCAGACTCTTAGTTGGGTTTCCTATAGGATTATACCCTTGAAATGGGGGCAGACCAGAGGTAGACCATGGTCAAGAAAGAAATCACAAAGAAGATTTAAAATAGAATATCTGCATCACTTTTTGAGTTTTTTCAAAAATAGTTTGTTTTTTGACCGAAACCGGTTTGACTCAGTGGATAGAATGTCAGCCTGTGGACTAAAAGGTCCCAGGTTCTATTCCGGTCAAGGGCATGTACCTTGGTTGAGGGCATGTCCTCAGTGGGGGGTGTGCAGAAGGCAGCTGATCAATGTTTCTCTCTCATCGATGTTTCTATCTCTCTCCCTTGCTCTCTGTAAAAAAAGCAATAAAGTATATTTAAAAAAAAAAGGGGGGGGGGGACTTCCCTGGCTTATTTAAAAAAAAAAAAAAAGGTTTTTTTTTTTTTTTACAGAACACAAGAAAAATCATGGAAAAAACATTAGACTACAGTAGAATTATGATTCTCTTATCAAAAGATGCCATTTATAGTGAAAAGCAAAGCAAAGAGTAGAAATTATTTATAATACATATATGACAGACTATATTTTGTAAAACTCTTGCAATTTGTTAAGAAAACAAATATTCAGAGACTGAAGCAGTTTCTTCACAAAAGCACTGGAGCAGTTACTGAAAAACTACAGGCTACTAGACACGAGAAAGTCTTCAACCTCATAGTCATTGTGAATATTCAAATTAAAACCACAATGAGCTATCTCTGCACATCCATTAGAATGGTTAAAGTAATTAACATTGACAACACTAATTGCTATTGAGGATGTAGAGCAACATGAAGTCTCTTCTACCCCTGGTGGGAATATAAGTTTATATAACTGGAAAACTATTTAGCATTATCTGCTAAATTTGAACATATGCATACCCTTTAGTTTTTAAATCCTCATCCGAGGATATGTTTATTTGAGAGAGAGAGAAGGGAGACATCCATGTGAGAGAGAAACATCGATCAGTTGCCTCCTGTTCAAGTCCTGCCTGGGGATTGAATCTACAACCTAGATACCAGTACATGCCATGACTGGGAATCAAACCTACAACCTTTTGGTGTACAGGATAGTGCTCCAACCAACTAAGCCACCTGGCCAGGCCTATGCATATTTTTGATCCAGCAATTCCACTCTAGGTATATTCCTAGTAATAATATATATGTATACCAAAAGACATTTTCAGGAATCTTTATAGCTGCACCATTTGTTTGTTTTTTTGTGTGTTTTTTAAAATATATTTTATTGATTTTTTTACAGAGAGGAAGGGAGAGAGATAGAGAGCTAGAAACGTCGATCAGAGAGAAACATCGACTAGCTGCCTCTTGCTCAACTCCCACCGGGGATGTGCCCGCAACCAAGGTACATGCCCTTGACCGGAATCGAACCCGGGACCTTTCAGTCCGCAGACCAATGCTCTACCACTGAGCCAAACCGGTTTCGGCTAGCTGCACCATTTGTAAAAGCCAAAAACTTGTATTAACCCAGATGTCCATCAACAATGGAAAGGACAAATTCTGGCCTATTCACCTACTGGAATACTATGCTACAGTGAGATGGAACTAACTATTAATTACATGCAACAATGTGAATGAATCTCACAAAGAGCAAAAGAAGCCAGATACAAAAGAGTAAATATTATATGTTTTCTAAGTGAAATTTACATTTATAAATTTTTAAGTTAAAAAGCAGGCAAAACTCATTAATGGTGGTAACGATTAGGAAATGGTTACCTTTGGTTGAGAAGAGTGGTTAAAAGAATAAGAGGGCTTCTGAGGTGCTAATGTTCTGCTTTTTGGTCTGGGACAAATGTATATTCACTTTGTGAAAATTAATTGAGTTGATTGTACATGATTTCTACATTTCTCTGTATTAATGTTATATTTCAATGAAAAGATTACCTGAAAAAGAAAGCTAGCATGTGTTAATTTCTCTGTATTCACCCAAAAGAAATTGAATATATCTTAAGTAATTACTATAATTATTAGGAAATTTGAAATTTTAAATGCTGAAAATAATTATTACTAAGCAAGACTAAATATAAAAAGTAGAGTATATATTTATATGAGTGAAAGTAACAAAGTAAAAATTATAAATGAGACTAGCCCCATTTATTCTCTATTATAAAAGTAACTCTGTGAATTTACTAATACAAAATTAGGCAGAATATTTCTAATTTTGTTTTTTTTTTTTTTTATATATTTTATTGATTTTTTACAGAGAGGAAGGGAGAGAGATAGAGAGCTAGAAACGTCGATGAGAGAGAGAGTCATCGACCAGCTGCCTCTTGCACACCCCCCACTGGGGATGTGCCCGCAACCAAGGTACATGCCCCTGACCGGAATCGAACCTGGGACCTTTCAGTCCCCAAGCCGACGCTCTATCCATTGAGCCAAACCGGTCTCGGCTATTTCTAATTTTGGAATATCATTTCCAAATATTACAAACCAGATAAGAATACAAAATCTAAGCTCTTAGTTATATTACATTTTTTAATGAAAATTTTTATTCTCTTAAATATCACAAATATACTGTGACCACAGGCCAACTGTGCAGGAAGATGGAGGAGATGTAATATACAAGGGCTTTGAAGATGGTATCGTACAGCTGAAACTCCAAGGTTCTTGTACCAGCTGCCCTAGTTCAATCATTACTCTGAAAAATGGAATTCAGAACATGCTGCAGTTTTATATTCCAGAAGTAGAAGGCGTAGAACAGGTATGCCAATATTATGTGATGGTTTTAATATTAAAATATCAAATAGACTTAAAATAAACATTTGAGAAGAAAAGAAATTCATGACCTGACATTTTCTTCAAGGGATGTTACAATTTTTGTCAGACTTGATGACTCTTTAATTTAAAAGAATTAACTTTAGTGTTATGAATACCTACTGTGTGCCAGGCACTTTTACAAATATTACTTCATTTAATCTTCTAATAGTACAGTGTATTAATTGAGCCATTTCTATTTTGTTCATAGGAAATTGAGATTCAGGGCATACTGCTGCTCTGGTTATGAAAAATTAGAAGTGAATTCAAAACATCATAGTGTTTTGTAGACGAGATTTAGAAGTCTTTAGAGGAACAGCTCCTGTACATTATATTTATCCATTACTTGTTCTTACATTTATCCACTCTTGTTCTTACATGTGCAGACAAGAAACTAATCAAGAGATCAAACTTTATTTTACCATAAAACAGTATTTATTGAGTAGAATTATAGAGTTTCATGTATAGCCTGTTGTCAGCACTTTTCTGCCCCAAGATTCTTAAGGAATATAGCACAGCATCTTCTAAGCAGTAATAGTAACTCTCACTACCGTGATTCTCAACCAGGAGACATGGCCTTATGGAGAGAGATTATCAAGAAGGGAAAGAGTATGTGGAAGTTAGAAATTTGAAAAAAAAAACAAAAAAAAACTTCAGGTAATTCAGTGCCTTTCAGGAGAAGACATCTCCTTTTAGTGCCTTTGGGAATCACTCATCTCTGGGTAGTATTAAAATATGTCCTTTTGTGGGGCTTGCTGGTCATCGGGGAGCTCAGGTTGGGGGAAGGAGAGGAGGGGAGAGGGGGATAAGTGATGATGGAAGGAGACTTGACTTGGGGAGGATGAACACACAGTACATTGTACAAGATCATGTGTTGTGGAATTGTGCATCTGAAACATATTTTGTTAACCAGTGTCTCCCCAATAAATTCAATAAAAAGGGGAAAAACAGAAAATATTAAAGCTAAGAAAAAAATTGTCCTTTTGGTACAACACTTGCCATCTCCTCTTTTAAGTCCCCAGCTTAGAATTAAGCTCTGCTTTGATCCAAAGCTGCTTTCTGTGTCTGTTTCACTTTATGTCTGTGGGTAAGTTCCTTGAGAGACCTGCAGTCATATCCCGGTCTTTGTGTTCCTCAGCAAATTAAATGATTTTTGTATTGATTGATTTTTAGAGAGGGAGAAGAAGGAAAAGATAGAGAGAAACATCTTTGTTTTTCCACTTTTTTTAAATATATATTTTTTATTGATTTCAGAAAGGAAGGGAGATAGATAGAAACACTTAGCCTTGTGTGTTATTCATGTTCTTACCTGGTTTATATTAAATATTTGGAAATGGTATTCCAAAATTAGGAATATTCTGCCTAAAATAGGAGTTTATTGACAAAATTTTTTGGATTGGGTGTTGCTGAGATTGGATATAAAATATAATTCATTGGAAATAAATATCCATTTTTACTTAACACAAAAGAGAAACTATTAGACATGTATTGTCTCAGATCAGAACCAGATTTGTCTAAATTAAAAAAAAACACACACACACATTTTGTTCCATTTTCTGCCTATGCCTTTTTTTTTCCATATCTTTTTTTATTTTTTATTTAATTATGTTAGTTGACAGTGGATTAACAAAGGAACATTTTTGTTTACTTGTCCAGGGTGGAGTGATGAATTGGCTGTCAGATTATAAACTTTTGTTGCCATTTAATTGTAGTAGGTGTGGTAAAGAGAAAAAAAATTCTTTGATTTATTTAACTCTCTTCCTTACCAAAGCAGTTGTTCTTTATTGTTTGAGTAATATATCAACTCATGAAAAGACAAAAATCATTTTATTTTTTTGTTCAAGTATTCATTATTTTTATTAACTTAATTAGAAATGAAAGTCTTAACATTTTTCTAAAGTTTAAAATGAACTTTTATCTGAGTAAGATAAAATAGTTGCTAATATAGCCCTAACCGATTTGGCTCAGTGGATAGAGCGTCGGCCTGCGGACTCAAGGGTCCCAGGTTCGATTCCGGTCCAGGGCATGTACCTTGGTTGCGGGCACATCCCCAGTAGGGAGTGTGCAGGAGGCAGCTGATCGATGTTTCTCTCATTGATGTTTCTAACTCTCTATTCCTCTCCCTTCCTTTTTGTAAAAAAAAAAAAAAAAAAAAAAAAAAAAAAAAATCAATAAAACATATTTTAAAAAATTGTTGCCAATATATTTTGTTTACTTATTTTTTGGGGGGATTCATTTTTCTTTAAAAAAATTTTTATTGATTGATTTTTAGAGAGGGAGAAGAAGGAAAAGATAGAAACATCTTTGTTTTTCCACTTATTTTTATTTTTTAAAATATATTTTATTGATTTTTTACAGAGAGGAAGGGAGAGAGATAGAGAGCCAGAAACGTCAATGAGAGAGAAACATCGACCAGCCGCCTCCTGCACACCCCCTACCGAGGATGTGCCCGCGACTAATGTACATGCCCTTGACTGGAATCGAACCTGGGACCTTTCAGTCCGCAGAATGACGCTCTACCACTGAGCCATACCGGCTTCGGCTCCACTTATTTTTTTTAATATATATTTTTTATTAATTTCAGAAAGGAAGGGAGATAGATAGAAACATTAATGATGAGAGAGAATCATGATTGGCTGCCTCCTGCAAAACCCCACTCGGGGGGAACGAGCCTGCAACCCAGGCATGTGCCCTTAGCTGGAATTGAACCTAGGACCCTTGAGTCTGCAGGCCGATGGTCTGTCCACTGAGCCAAACCAGTGAAGGCTTCCACTTATTTATGCATTCATTAGTTGATTTTTGCACTTGCCCTGATTGAGGATAAACTAGAAATCTTGACATATCTGGGCAATATTAACCAATCAAGCTACCGGGCTAGGGCTCAGGAATCATTTTTCTAATGTATATTTTTACAGTTTGGTATAGATCCCCAGAATATATTTAAATAAATAAGATGCTTATGGGGGGTAGGAGTGAATAATCAATTACATTAGTCTTCTGACTAGAAAATGGCAATTAATCTTTATAGTCTTCTCTGACCAGCTGAGACTTTTATTGCCTCTTTTGGGACAAGGAAAAGAGACCAGTGCTTTTAATTAATTTGCTAATATTCAGTTTGCTTTTATGTTGTTAGGATACCAGGTTATGATGCAAACCTTGTGCTTTGGGGCTATTGATAGATTTCTTTTTATTGACTTGCATTATTATATAATATATTAGGTAAGAAAATAATGTTAAAAACAAAATAGCAATTTCTGATTATTTTCTTAATTCTTAAATTCTCTTGTTTTTTTGTCTTTTTTTGGTTCTAGGTTATGGAAGAGGAACCAAATGAAAAAGAAACAAATTCACCTTAAAATATTTTGAGTTTTCTTTGGACCCAGCAATCAGGCTTATTGATATTATATACCTTGCTTTTATTATTAACTGCTAAGGAATTGCAGATTAATAAAATATGCTCTTCAGAGAATGATATATAAATAGTGTGTTGGCTTTACCTCATAAGAGTTATTTATAGCATTCTGAATCATTTTGTACACATGGATTTTATTCAGGGATATTTTTATTTTTGTTAGTCATTTTTCATGGTTAATTCTTTGCATAATGTTTGAAGCAGTTTAAAATAAATTTTACCTCATCTAATTTATTTATTTTTAAAATACAGATGTGAATAGGGAGAATACTTTAAAAATATCCTCAATGGCTTAGCTTTTGTGAGATGTTTGAAACTATTTTTTTTTTAAGTTTCTAAAAGTTTTATTTTTCAACCAATACAAAATTGATTTGTTTCACACTATTCACTGCCAGACAAATTTTATGTTAAAAATTAAGCATTTTTTGTTAAACAGATTAGAACAAATGTTTTTGATTCTGATATAATGAATATAAATCAAAATTCACAAATGGCGGTTGAAATTCTGTCAACTTTTAGCCTAATGCAACATAAATACAGTTATTTTGCATAAACAATTTAAAATTAAAGTTTATAATGGAAATGTCAGCAAGTCCTAAAAACTATATTACTATTAATGGGTTCTGCTATACTACAAACAGTCTCACCAGATGTGCACATCTGATAGACTGCTTAGAAAATTAAAGCTATCAGATCTATAAATAAGGAATAAATATGAACACTGTAATGCCAAAGCATTAGCACTGTTTAAAAAAGCAAGATGTGATGTAAACACATTTGACAGTCCTCTCTGTAAGCCAGTTTTCATTGATTTATAAAGCTATGGTTTTATAATTCTTTTAAAAAGGAAAATGTTGCTACACTGCTGCATGCAGTAATTTCATTGTACATTCTTGAGTACAATTCGATCTTCAAATCCTCTTGCAGAGTTTGACATCTCATTAAGAATTCTCTAGAAAGTCAGCTTGTCATATTTTCAGCAGCCTTTAGTGCTTCAGTGGCCTTTCGAAGTTCCTTAATAACTGATGATAAAGCTTCTGGATTAATTCCTTGTTCACAAAGCCGTACACAAATAGACAGAGTCTCCATATCTAAGCCAGTATTCAAAATTCTTGAAATCTCGAGCAGAACGTCCATGGTCTCCCTCACCGCATTCAGATTCGCCGCTGCCGCCGCCGCCGCCGCGGCCCTGGTCCCGCTACTGCTTGCCATGGCGGAGGCCGAGGGAGGCGGCGGGGAGTGAGGGAAGGAGCTGAAACTATTTTTAATGAACTTTTTATCTTGTTGGAAAAAAACTAAACAATTCTAGCATAAAAATTATATCAGGCTGCCCTCGCTGGCTGGTATGGTTTAGTTCTTTGAGCATTGTCCCATGCATTGAAAGGTGGCCAGTTCGATTCCTGGTCAGGGTACATGTTCATTCCTGGTTTGAGACAAAGAACAAACACACACACATGCACACACAAATCATAATGCTGAATACTGATTAAAATAAAAACATTCTAAATGTAGAAAAAACTCAATTATAAGACAGTGCAGGCTGAATTGAGCAAAACTGTCTTACATGTTCAGGCTTTACCTTATGAAACAGAATCTGAAATAAAATGAGAAGCTGATTGGGTCCTTTTACTGGCTTCTGACTCAGAGAGTTATAGTCAGTGCCAATTTGGACAGTTATCTCCCTACTATAGGAGTACTGCTTTTTTAGATAGCCTACATAGCAAATTATCCTCTCCCTTTTCTGTAGTAATTTAGAGACAACATTTCACAAACAATATCAGGGAAAGATATTGCATCTCTAGAATTCTGGTCTCCAAAAGTAGAGAGATTAAGATAGGGATGGAAGTAGGAAGAACTCCAGCAGTTGTGAGTGCCAAGATTGAAGTTTTTATTTTTGTCCTTTGATTCACAGAACCAGATAGTGAGTTTGGACAATGTATTTCCTGAGCTATTATAGATAAATTCAGCTTACACTCTGGGAATTGCTTTGCGAACTAGCAATTGACTCATGCAATCATGGAGTCTAGCAAGTCCAAAATCTGCAGGGTGGGATATCAGGCTGCAGACGGAAGAGCTGATGTTGCAGTCCAAGCCCAGCTCTGCTGGTGAATTCTTTCCTGCTCTGGAGAGGTGAGTGTTGTTCTAGTCAGGCCTTTGACTGATTGTATTAGGCCCACCCACATTATGGAGGGCCAGGCGCTTTACTCAAAGTCCAGCAATAGAAATGTTAATCACATCCAAAAGTACCCTCACGGACACACCCAGAGTGTGTGACTAATATCTGAGCACTGTGGCTGAGCCAAATTGACATAAAAAAGTTAACTGTCACCGTGAATAGAGTTTGCTTTTATGGCCAGCTTATCTCTTTAAAAATTAAAAAAATATATATTTTTTAGAGAGAAATTTATTCCACTTACTTATACATTCATTGGTTGATTCTGGTATGTGCCCTCACGGGATTGAACCCGACAACCGTGGGATATTGGGACGATTCTCTAATCAACTGACCTACCTGACCAGAGCCCCTCATATCTGATTCCTTCTCCCATATCTTACCACCTCTCTGCATTTCCATACTCAGTTACAGAGACCCTTATATTGTCATGTTCTTGTCCAGTGTCATCAATCGAGGTAATCTGTCCAGGTCTGCCTTCTGATTTCAGAATTATCTTCCCTTCAAAATTTACATTTCCTCAGTGACCTTTTCACATATGGTATGGAAATGAAAAGTAATCCTATAAATAAAGTGTTAATAGATCATAGTGTAGATCTTAATGTAGACTTTGTTGTGGGGTCCAACCCTTGGTTCAAAATAAGACCACCGGAGGCTGATTAATAATTTCAAAAGCAGGCAAGGATTTATTGAACTGGCCAGGACAGCCAGGAGAGCACCACACGCAGGTGCTCCACAGCAGGACTGCACCATTTCAGGGGTAGGCAGTCCCTTTTAAAGGTTCAAACCACAGGAATTTTCCTTTGTTCTAAATTCTAAATCCTAAAGACTAAATTCTAAAGACTGGGGACAGCCCGCAGGGTTGGTTCCCAGTCACATCCTGTTGGACATTGGAATGTGGCCCTATCTTGCAATAGTGATAACACAGAAGCAGAGCTCAGCGGTTAGACTCTAAAGGTTATCTACAGTTTCTATCCCTGAAGCTACTGAGTCAGTGGGAATCATTCTCCTGTGGTCCTGGTCCCAGGCAAGGGAAAATTGCCTTAGCCTCCAGGTCTTCACCTGGAAGTTGAGGTAAGTACCCAGTGTTTTAATCAGATGCAGGGGCCAGACTTAGCAGGGTTAAAATTCAAACAGCAGTTTTTACCAAAGTATAGTTGCCACTATATTTCAACTTAATGTAGATTTTTTTTTAAATATATATTTTATTGATTTTGTACAGAGAGGAAGGGAGAGAGATAGAGAGCTAGAAACATCAATGAGAGAGAGTCATCGATCAGCTGCCTCTTGCACACCCCCTACTGGGGATATGCCCGCAGCCAAGGTACATGCCCTTGACCGGAATCGAACCTGGGTCCCTTCAGTCCCCAAGCCGATGCTCTATCCATTGAGCCAAACAGGTCTCGGCCTTAATGTAGATCTTAATGTAGACTTAATGTAGATCTCCTAGGGAAGAGGGAGGTATTCTGCAACACACACACACACACACACACACACACATACACACACACAACACACACAAGTGGACTTTAGGCCTGTGATAGCCAAGGAGTGGAGGTAATTTGGGACAGGAAACTTTCATCTCCTGTATTCACATTTTTTAAATGACTAGTCCTCCATAGTCAAGGCCTATTTAACATCTGGTACCCTTTTTGATGCTTCAGAAAAGGGCAAATGCCACTATACGAAAGTTTGCAATAGTATTCTTTTTCTAAAATTTTTGATTTTTAGAACAAAGGTTAGATAGAAGCATCAGTTTGTTATTCCATTTATGCACTTACTGGTTGCCTCCCCCCCCCTCCTATATTTTTATTGATTTCAGAGGAAGAGGGAGAGAGAGAAACATCAATGATGAGAATCATTGACATGTATGCTCTCCACCAGGGATGGAGCCCAAACCCAGGTATGTGCCCTACCTGGAAATCCAACCATGACCTCTTGGTACATAGGTCAGTGTTCAACTACTGAGCCACGCAGGCCTTTATAATTTTAACAATCTTATTACTATTTATATTGGGAGTCCGCTAAGGAATAACAAAAATCACAAATGTGAAAGTTGATAATCTTATACACCTATTTCAATTATGGTTCTTCATTTCTTCAGAAATGACAGCTAGAAGCCCTGATGCATGGCAAGGAGGAGGCTGAGAACCATTAGATTTCACAGGACTAATCTGGGGAATCAAGTAGCATAAAGAGACAATAAATGACACACCATCACGTTTTACTTTTTCAGTTCTGTTCAAAACTGTTGATCAGAGAGAAAATCCTTTCCATTTCCTCAGATGTTTGAATAAGACCTAAATGTGCCCATTCATTCCTAGGTGATTTATTTTTTTCTTCTGCAGCTCATATTTCCAAAGGTCCAGCTCAGGCAAAGCTCTGTGTAGATGGGGTTCAGTCAAACAAAATGCTTCTATATCGGTGTCTGGACTGGCACATGGTTACAGAGGGCTCTTTGTTTCAGTGGGTGGGTGAGGTGGTTCAAGGTTGGGTTGATGTGGTGGTGACGCTGCCTGTCCTGTGTGCTAGCGCTGGGCCAGAACAGAGGTTGCTTTCTGTAAACCCAACTTCTAGACTGTCTGAATTGATATTCATCCTGACATAAATCAACACCTCTCTTGCTTCTTGCGATATGCTGGTTCCTGGAACAGGCTGTTCTCCTGACTTGGTTCAGCATATAATTTCTAGCATTCACATACTAGTACCTGTGATTATTGCCCACTTGGCATGGGGACCCATTTTGTCTTGCAGCTACCTAGGACATGTCTTCTAAGTTTCTTTCTATAAATTCTATTAATTAGTTGACTGGAGTGGCCAGCTTCTTTCTTTTTAAAAAATATATTTTATTGATTTTTCACAGAAAGGAAGGGAGAGAGATAGAGAGCCAGAAACATCGATGAGAGAGATACATGGACCACCCCCCACTGGGGATGTGCCCACACCCCCCACTGGGGATGTGCCCACAACCAATGTACATGCCCTTGACCGGAATCGAACCTGGGACCTTTTGGTCCGCAGCCCGACACTATCCAAACTGGTCTCGGCAGGCCAGCTTCTCTCTTTGGTCTTTCCCTGCCCTCCACTTATGGAGGTAAATTTTTATTCTCGGGGCTTTCTCTGGGTCTGTGTGCACTAAACAATTGGGAAAATAATTGGCTTTAAAAGTTTCTTTCAACTGGTGCATTAAGCACCTTCCAAAATAGCTGTAAAATGGAGATGGACAAGACAAATTGATAGTCATGATGGAGAATCAGAAGAGGAAAGCAGGGGGGTTCAGCAATTATAGTTTGAGCATGAGAACTCTGGTGGTCCTGCTGGCTTTCCTTTGTGACAGGATTTCTGGCAGCTTACAAAGGTGTTGTTCAAACACTGTAATGATGCCGTGGCCAGTGTGGCTCAGTTGGTTGGAGAGTCTTCCTGTGCACCGAGGATCTTGGGTGTGGTTCCTGGTCAGGGCAGGGCATATACCCAGATTGCAGGTTTGATCCCCAACTGTTTATGTCCCAAATGTGTTGACTATTTTCTAACAGCTCACTGTTGTTTTTTAAACTTTGCTCTGGGTGACATAAGAACCTGTTTAAGGGCCTGAAATATTAAAGGGTTTTCATCTTAGAAATTCTCTGATCAATGTGACATTTTCTGACCTTTCTTTGAGGCCAGTGATAAAAACATTTTTTTCCCTTTTAAGAAAAACTGAAAAGCCCTTTGCTCACTTGATCATATAACCAGCCATAGAAAGAAAATTCTACTAAGAACATTAGACTTTTTTTTTTTTTTTCACTCATTCAAAAGCCTTTTTGATCCCTTACTTTGTGGTAAGTTCTATACCAGGTGTTGAGTATGCAAACACTTGTTCTAGCTTCAAGAAACAGCCTAGTAGAGGAATATGCAAAAAAAAAAAAAAAAGTAAAAAAAAAAAAAAAATCAAAGTATATTGCTTTAAAAAGGGCAACTCAAAGAATGAAAGGTTAATGCATGTCCTTATATCTCTCTGGGGGAGACAAAAAAGGTTTTCCCTAAGAGGTAGCATTTAAGTAGCGAAGGGAATGTGGATCCCATGAAGAGTAACCAAAGTGTGCAAAAGTCTTGAGGATATTGGCCCAATTGAGAGATCACCTGTTCAGCGTTATTGGAGTGTAAACAGCTGGAAGGTGGGGTAGGAAAGGAGCAGCAGTGTGAAATAAGATGAGATATCTGAGGTCAGAAGTCCATGCCATGTTCTATATGTCGTATAAGTTTTTATTTGATTCTACTCTAGAGTCAATAGTTATGATAACCATCTACATTTCGTCTACATTTGACGAAAGACACTACTTAAATCTTTCTAAAGCAAATGCTCAGGTAGTAAATTCTCAGAAACATCATCTCTCTTTAAGTTTCTCTTGGCAGGAAGGGTGCATTAATTCATAGAATGAGTTAATCGTCGATGAGTCCAACGTAAGACTGTCAAATCTAGGCAATTCCTACAGTCCTGTCAGGTGAGCCAGCAGAAGTCTCCCCTGCCCTTCCGCAAAAACAAAACAAAACAAACAAACAAAAAAACAAACCCAAAACCAGGGTTAGGGAGTCAATGAATGGGGGCGGAGGGCTTTTGGAGGCCAAGCATATAACTAGTGCCCAAGTCGGGAACTGAACTGCCTGACACCTGGGAGACTCACAGACTCTCTCTGCACAGCGCTTTGCAACCAGGAGTTTTGGTATCTCTATCCTTTCAATTCTTTGCAAATTTTTTTTTTTTAGGATCTATGTCCCTTTCCCACCCTGTCTTATTTGTCCGGCTGGCTGCTTTCTTCCTCCTCTTTCCCCGCTTCCTGGCGAGCCGGAACTCGGAGCCTAGGACAGAACTAGGCGCGCCTCCAGCGTTATTTGCTTTGCAGACAACCCGGTCCTCCGCTTTCCTTCCTCTCGTTCCCAGCCAGCCAAGAAGGTCCCCCTCCCATCCCTCCTACATCCCCCCACCCCACCGCCCCCGAGGCGCCGCCGTTCCGCTATTTGCCCCGGGCGGGCCGGGCGGCTCCAGGAACCGAAGGCGGATGCTGCGCTGCCACGTCCTCGCTGCCAGCAGGCCAGCGCCTGCGTGGGCTGGTGGGCGGGGCGGCCCGGGGAGGCGGAACCTGCGCGTGAGCGGCGCGGACGTGGCCCAATAGGACCCGCGGGCGGCGGAGGCGGCGGCGGCGCGGTGCGTGCCGAGGGGCGGGGCCAGAGGCAGTTGCTGGCGAGTCCGGGAGGCCAAGGAGGGAGTCGTTACCTCGGCTGCCGCATCCTCCAGGGAGTCGTGCGGGTGCCTCCTGACCCCCAAGCCCGCCGATCGCACCCACAGGCTCCGGTGTGCGCCCGACTTGGCCAGCCGCTCGCTAACCACTCGCCTCGCGGACCGGGCGAGCCTCCGGCATCATGTGCGGTAAGGGGCCGCGGGCGGGGGGCGTGTTGCGGGGCGGCGCGCTGTGCGGTGCAGGGCGGTGCGGGCGCCGCTGAGGCCTGAGGCGCCGGCGGGAGCGGGGGCGTGGGGGGTGCGGGGTCAGGATGCTGGGCCGGGGGCGTCCCGCGGGCGAAGGCCGGTCTCTGCGGGCCGGAGGGGTGTGGTGGACTCGGGAGGGTACCTGCGAGCGGGCGGGCCCCGGAGGCGATCTGGAGGAGAGAAGGGGGCGGCTGGGCGCGGGGAAGGGAACTGGGAACCGGAGGGAAGAGAGATGCCCGTCCTGACCTGGGAAAGAAAGAGGAGAGGGCTGAAGGAACTGGGGTGCGGAGGGGGGTGACTTCACCAGAGTCCACCAGGTGAGTGAGGCAACCTGTGGAACATCACGTGAGGTTCTCTTGAACTGACCTTGTGCTCTTTTTAAAAGGACTTCACCTTTTAAAAAGCCCTTGTTTTTAGTTGCTGTCTTTCCGTCAGGCCCAGCAGAGAACAGAACTTTAACTAGAGCTGTGACAGTGGCAGTACACATGGTCTTATTTCCTGCCCACCCCTGTCTCAGCAGAAACCATTGCTGATCAATATCTTGGTGAGTGAGGTCAGACCTGATGATCCGGTGGAAGAGGCCCAGAAGTGACCGTGGCGATAGATCACACGTCATGTATCACTTGCATGTGCAGTCATTCAAGATACCGATGAAAAATAGTGGTCTACCTTTAGTGGATGTTTTAACCTGAACAGTTAACAAAGTTAGGCCTGCCCTAGCTGGTTTAGCTCAGTGGATAGACTGTCCTGGGTTGTATTCTGGTCCAGGGGATAGATGGTTCCGGGTTCTATTCTGGTTGAGGGCACGATCCCTGGGTCTGGCCCGCAAGGGAGTCAGTCAACCAATCGATGTGGCTCTTTCACATCTATGTTTCTCTCTCCCCCCTTGTCCTTCCACTTTGTAAAAAGCAATGGAAAAATAGTCTTGGGTGAGGAATAACATAAGAATTAAAAAGTTAGGCCATTTTATTTCATGTTTTGAGACTTAATTGTATTAGTATTACCTAAAAGTGTTAGCTAAAAGGAATGGTCTGAATCTGAAATGACTAATCTGCACTAAAATTGGTATTAACTTGGCCATTCATGTCAGTATAAAGAATTGTATCATTACCTTTCTTATTGAAGTTTACAACTAACCTTACTCCTGACTGGGAAAAAACAACAACACTTTTTATGGAATTGAAACTATCTGGGAAACTTATTCTTTGTAGCCTTTTGCAAGAACTGAGCAGGAGGTGACAAGTTCTCATTAGCTTTATTTTTCCTGTATTAAACTTTATGCAAATTTCAGCTTCTGAAAAAGAGGAACATGTTTAAATTTAGAGTAGTTTTTAAAAAAACAAACAAACAAAAAAGAAAATCTTTAAATAGTTTTCTGAAATTATTAGTTGAGCTGACATTAGCATTAGATATATTATACCTTTGCTCTGTCTAGATCAGTAGTTCTCAACCTTTCTAATGCCTCGACCCTTTAATACAGTTAGTTCCTCATGTTGTGGTGACCCCCAACCATAAAGTTATTTTCATTACTACTTCATAACTGTAATGTTGCTACTGTTATGAATCATAATGTAAATATCTGATATGCAAGATGTCTTAGGCATTGTGACCCACAGGTTGAGAACCACTGGTCTAGATAGTAGAGTGGTTTGCAAGAACACATACAGTAATTTAATTTGGACAGTGATGTAGTAAACTGGTTAATCCCCAGTGTGCTTCATTTGGTAATGAACTGTTCCTGAATGATGAGGTGTGCATCTAGTTAAGTACCTGGCTATCTGGTTGTAGATAATTCCTTCAGGTTGTTCCAGGAAAAGGAAGCCAAAGTATCCTATCTAATAGAGAGGGACTATGCTAATTGACCATCACACCCTCACAAAGATGGCAGCACCAACAACCAATACGGAGTGAATATGATAATTGACTGTCGCGCCCACAGCCACAAGATGGCAGCACCCAGTTCCCTCAGCCCTGCCAAGGTGGCAGGCTCCCAGCACATGTGTGGCACAGTCAGGCCCGCCCCCCAGGCAAGTCCAGCCACTCTGTGCACCTGCTTCCGGAGTTCCCCAGTCTCCTCAGCCCCCTAGCCACCCAGGGCTGGCCTGAGGCACAGGCAAATCTCAGATGGCAGCTGCCCAGCCATCCAGGGCCACCCAAGGCTCAGGTAACCAGGGCCGGCTTAGGCTTTTGCTGCCGGCAGTAGTAGCAGCAGAGGTGTGATGGGGTGGGTGTCACCTTCCCCTGATAACCAGGTTGCCTTCAGCCCCTGAGGGCTTCCAGACTGTGAGAGGGGACAGGCCAGGCTGAGGGACACCCCCCTCTCCAGTGCATGAACTTTCATGCACTAGGCCTCTAGTGTACTCTAAAAGAAGAAACCTGAACTGGTTCAGAAAAGGTGCAGATTAGAGTGAGGTTTCAGGGTGGAGACTAGATGTCACATTTTTCTTAGCCAACATCCCCATTCCAGAGTTTTATTGCTAAGGAAACGGGTTATAAAGAATAAACAATTAGTATTTGAGTTATTTTGAGTTCCTGCTTTTAACCCTATCCAGACCACAGTTTTGCATGATCTGGAATAAGATCTAGAATTTATTCCCTTTAATTTAATTATGAAGGTTAACTGTTAGGACAAAAGTTTGTCTTTATTTTCCTCCCACATCTTAATCATATAAGTAAATTTTTTAGCGAGATTGAGTGGGGAACGAGATCAGGTGGAAAATGTAGATTTACTGTCGATTTCCTGCTTCCTGTTCAGATTTTTCTAAAAGATCATTTTATTTCAACATTGCATAATATTGAAGAAGAGGAATCCTGTGGTATGCTTAAGGCAAAAGAAAAGTTTCCATGGTCAAGTAAATTTGGGGAGCAACAGATTAAACTATGTTGAACTATCTTTTTTTTTTTTTTTTTTTTAATTGAAGGACTTTTTGGAAACTTTAATGTACTAAGAGTTATGAATTTCCCAGAGAAGAATAGATGTTTATGTCCCAAATTTATTTTATCTTCCTCTTATTCTTGGTTCTTTGGAATACACTTTGTTCTTTTTTAGTTATTTTTTTAACCTTTGGCTTTGGTGAGAGATTGTCAACTCGCTTAAGCTACCCACATCTTTTAACAGTTTTTGCTGTTGTTTTTTTAAAAAAAATAAATGATGGTGTATATAAATAGACTTTTTGTAAATGAGGTAATATTTCAAAGCAGTCAGGCAGCTGCAATTTAAAAGTATCCTGAAATGAATCCTTAAAAAGTTTTTTTTGTAATTATATTGTCTGATGACTTTGGGGGTAATTGAAGAATGCTGACACTTGCTGCTTGGATGAGTCATAAAACCAGTATTATTAACTTATCCTTAGAAATTATACTAAATATAAAGTAGTTGTTAAAGAAAATTAATTAATCGCTTACCAAGCATTTCCTCAATTGTGCTCCCTGGAAAGGGAGAAGTTAATAGGTGCTGGTAATGAGCAGTAAAAGATAGGAGTTTTATAACACACCAGTTTGGGACATTCTGCTTTTGGAGATTTGCACTTAGCAAGATTAAAGGATCTAAGAAGATCTACAAATAAACCTGTTAACCTGTAACCAGTATTTCTTTCTTTTTTTTTTAAATTTATTTTTTATTGACTTTTTACAGAGAGGAAGAGAGAGAGAGTTAGAAACATCGATGAGAGAGAATCATCGACCAGCTGCCTCTTGCACACCCCCTACTGGAGATGTGCCCGCAACCAAAGTACATGCCCTTGACCGGAATCGAACCCGGGACCTTTCAGTCCGCAGGCCGACACTCTATCCACTGAGCCAAACCGGTTTCGGCCCAGGATTTCTTAAACCGTTAATTATGCAACCTTTCTTTCACTTCATCCCTATTTAACATCTGCAAAATAGTGTTCTCTTTTTGTGGTCTTGGAATTTTTGACTACATTTCAGGGATCTTGAAAGTGTTAGAAGATATTTGAAATGATAGCTTTATATTTGGCACTCTGCCATTTGGAGAGAAGACCAAAACAAGGAAATTGCCTTTGAGGAATTGCTATCTGATTTGAGGAAACAATGAATACACATGCAACAGGTGTAGGTAATAATACACAGTCTCTGTTCATTGCCATGTTACAAACCCTGAGTGGCATGAATAGAAATTGAGAAACTGGTTAGGCCAGGAACATTCTAGATGATTAGGCTGGACTTTTATGTTGAGGAATAGTGCCAGCCAGTAGAGAACTAGTACACTGTAAAAGATATTGATGGCATGTGTTACCCAACAATCAATGGAATCAGAAATAAATTGAGAACTGCCAATGGGTTTGAAAGAAGGAATAGAAGTGCTAGGAAAAGAGGCCAAAGACTTGTGGTTAAAGGCAGAAGAGTTCCAAAGTGGTATGTATTGACATGGACAGAATCTGCAAATGTAGAAGAAGGTCATCCTTGTTTAATACTGCAGAGAGAAGTTAATTGCTTTGAGCTATAATAAAGTCATTAGAGATGTTACATATATGAAGGTAGAAGGACCTGAGTTTGTGTTGAGGAGGAGGGCAAATCTACCAACAAAGGAAGGGAGTGTTGTGGAACTGAGATTTCTGATAGAGTTGAAAAGTTGAGTTCTAGAGCTGTGGTCCTTGATTTATGAGCTGTGAACTTATTATGGGGCATTCATTGATCAATTCATATTCTAAGCATTATCTATAATTTGAATAAAAGTTAGATAACAAAAATTCAACCTACTATTGTATAGGATCCTCAAAATATTTTGATGTTAGCAAAAGTTCTGTATTTAGCCCAGCCAGTGTTGCCCAGTGGTTGAGTGCTGATCTCTAAACCAGGAGGTCACGGTTCGATTTCCCGTCAGGGTACCTGTCTGGCTTGAGGGCTTGATCCCCAGTACAAGGTGTGCAGGAGGCAGCTGATCAATGCTTCTCTCTAATCATTGATGTTTCAATCTCTCTCTC